GTGGGATGCAAAGCTTGGCCAGTGGAAACAAATGATTGATAGCTTCCTCTTAACACTTCTGCCTTTATTTTCCTCGGCATGGCTCATGATTCTGCCACGTTAATTTAAGCTTTCTTATTGTATTGAATTAGGGGTTTAAATTCTCTTATCATCCCTATGGGAATCTTGATTGTTTATTTGTAGATGACGATAATTGTTTTTATCGATCCCCAAATGTAGAAGGTATAAAAAGTGCCATGGCTGATGGCCAGCTGGTACAGTTAGTGCCGCGTGCATGAGTGACAAATTACAAGACAGTATTTGGCCCCAGAGGAGACCCTTTAAGAATTTTTAAAAGCATCCGATAGTTATCCCTAGGTCCCTTCTAGCTGAAAAGCATAAACAATTTCACATACATCGGCTCAAGTCTTTTTGTTGTTTTTATTGAGCCCCCAGAGGTCTACTTGGGCATAATTTATACATCCTCATTTCTAGTACACCCACACAGCAGGAGTTTGGAGTGGTTTAACTATAAGAATTCCCAGAGCCAGTGCCATCCAGGCCAGTGAGTTCCATTAGGGACCCAGATCACCAAGGCCATTATTCAGAAGAATTTCTGGATTAATCTATCAGTTGCCATTATGCCACTGTAAATATTCTGTAGATGACATTAGCTCCAAGTATTTTGAGAAGAAACCACTTTGCTATCCCCAGCATGTACTATGGGTAAGAAATCTCACATGATTTTACATCCCAAATTTATCAGAGGCACCAGAGAGAGAAAATGCAACTGTCTAATTAAAGTGCCGTTTTTAGGACAGGGCACTTAAGCAGTATGAGTCCCCGCAGTCGGAACCAAATGCAACACAGCTTACTTGAAGATTTTCAGCCTAACTATTATGATCTGTCTATCCAGAAACAAAATGAGGTTTTGCTTAAAAGTAATAGGTTAGGCTTAAAGGTCATCAAGTGTCCGAGACATGGTAAAATTTCCTTATCAGTGAGTAAGATGGAAAGATCTTTGACCAGATGCCAAACTCTGAAATTCTTGACCTTCTTTTCCTGGGTGAAGAGAAGACAGATTATGTAGAGGAACCACTCTGACAACTGTACCCTATTTATCCTCTGCTTCCATTCTGAAAGTTTGCTGTTGAACACTCAACGTGACTATCTGGATCAGAATGAGCCAGGAGAACTTGTTTTGCAGAGTAGAGGTCCACACGTCATACAAATGACCTCCCCCTCACCACACTTTATGCTCGAGCTATAATATTATCTTGGTCCTTGACAGTTAGCCACTCTGTGGACACACTGACACCCAGAAAACCACATAAAAAGAAAAACATTTTGCCCTAATTTTGGTTTACTTTTTCTCTCACTCAAATTAAGCTTTAGTCTGAATACTATGATCTCATTGTGTCCTTGGTCTTGGACAGCCATTCCAGCACGTTCCATGAGCAATAGTGTGAAAGAGGGAAGAGTTTAGCGACTATAGCTACCACCATTGTGAGGTAAAACTTTACACCCTCTTTATATATGCCTCAGACATTTAGGTGCATGCCCACCACACAAGTGGGCATTAAAGGCAATTTGACTGATGAACATGTTTGTTAGTTACACATTCAGCATGTGTGGAGCATATTACTGTAGAATGGGCAAACCTTAAAACAGATCGACTGTTGAGGGTGACAATCACAGAAGCATTTGGTTTTAAAATTGGAACAAATTTTAGATATGACTTAGTTCAACCATCTCATTTTAGAGACAAGGGAACTAAGATGACCCAAAGAGGTTAAAAACATTGTCCAAGGCTTGGTAGTGACAAAGCTGGAATGTGAACCTAGGTATCCACACTCTCAGTTTCATACATTTCATACTGTACTGACTCTGAAACACATGGGCTTGTGTTTTGTTACATGTATTGTGTTGGTCTTGACACGTGTGCTACCCCCCACTAGACCATGTATTCTTTAAGAAAATATTCATCACAGGGCACCTACATGGCTGGGTTAGTTAGGTGTCTGATTCTTGATCTCTTAGCTCAGGTCTTGATTTCAGGGTTGTGAGTTCAAGCCCTGCATTGGGTTCCACGTACACTTAAAAAAAAAAATATATATATATATATACACACACACACACACACACACACACATATGTGTATATATTTCACCACTAATTTCTGGCATAGGATTGCAATCAATGTCTGTTAGTAAAACAAGTAAGTGAGACCTACTTTTCTTATTGTGTACAAATAAATGTTGTAATTTTTAGTGATCTCTGCTAGTGCGTGGTCAGCCTAGTAATGAAGAAGGATAGAGGGAATAGAAAGGTTGAAACACGTAGAATGAGAAGGCAAAAAGAGGTAAAAGGGGTGTGCCGTTCAAATAGGAATATAACTGGAAAACAGTCAGTACACAGACAAAATTTCTAGATTCAATTTGGGAGCTTCTAATCAAGACTCTTGCATCTTCTGATCTCTCCCAATTTTCACATGAGGACATTTAAGCAGATGGTGTGTGAAGCAGATCTCATCATTGCTGCTCTCCCTCAGACCTCAGAAGACAGGTCGGACGGCAAGTCAAATTGTATAATAAGCAAAGTTGCTCTTGAGTGTATCCCACCTCCCTCTGGCATATCCCCCCTCCCATTTGGCACCCATTCCTAACCCATGCTGCTGCTACTATTCTTATCCCGGAAAGGGGGGAGGAAGGTGCACGTAACTCCATGTGATCCTGTTTCTGGAATATTTTCCACTTAGAAGACACACCAGGAAGACGATTTACACGGTGGCATTTCAGACTCAGTGGCAAGTGAGCAGAGGGGACGGATATGTATGGACTGGCTTTGCCTCTCCTTAAAAAACATCCAGAGTCAATTAAAATAGAAGTGAGAAAATCCAGTTATCATACCCCTCTGCGAGCTTGTGTTGCTCCTGAAATGCTTACATGTTGTAAGTCAACTGATACTAAACAATGACTGTAAAAAAAAAAAAAAAAAAAAAAGAATCAAAGGATCCAGGGTTCTAAGTATAACACATTGATGGCTTGGTGCTGGAGAACTACATCAACAATACAGGACATCAGTGGGAAGTGACTACTGGCTGGAGGGCTGTACCCAGAGAGTGGTTATCAGTGGCTAAGTGTCAGTTTCTAGAAGAGCTGGCAATGCTCCAGCATGCCAGGAAGTCTAGATGGAAGGTATGAAATGTAGTCTTTTTTAGAAATGGTGCTGCACAGTTGCCAGATAACCTGGTGAGACCCAAATGCTCCTATGGGAAGAGATTAAGGAGCTAGACAGTCATCTGTTTTGGATGGATTGGGTCCCCTTGGCTAAAGTCAAGTATGGAGATAGAGCTTTTCATCCAGCATTCCTTTGAGCCATCGAAATTTGGCAGACCCTTCCAATCAACACAACACCTAACTACATCGGACACTCTCCCCCTTCGGTTACTATGATTTCCCTCTTTTCCTTAAACATACCAAGCACACTTCCATCTTTATGATTTACCCTTTACATTTTCTCTTCCTGGAACACTTTCCTCTCATATGGTCTGTTGAGCAGGTGACATCTGTCTCCTATCACCAGAGGTAGAAGTCCAAGCACTTCTTCCCACTGTGTCTTATTTGAACTGCCAAGAAAAACACAACACAAACACTGGATAGAGAAATGCTTTACTCACATAGAAAGGAGATAGAACAAGATCAGCTCTAATAGTGAGCCTTGGTCCTCATGGCCTTTGGGTCCTTCCTGGCAACTGATTCAGAGCCCTTGGCCTGCAGGCAACCAAAGGACCCTGTCCCCTCCTGGCAGGGGATAGATATAGTATGCAGTTGACCAGGTGTCATGTAACATGTATACCTAAGCGGAACAAAGGAGTACACATTGAGTCTGAAACAGGGAAAGATATCCCCACACAAGACAATAACCAAGCACAGGATGTGAGGATCTCTTATAAAGGAAGTGGTCCAGGCTCAAAGCCCATTCTTTTTTTTTTTTAAAGATTTTATTATTTATTTGACAGAGAGAGAGAGAGAGAGCACACAAGCAGAGGGAGCAGCAGGCAGAGGGAGAAGCAGCCTCCCACTGAGCAGAGAGCCCGACATGGGGCTTGGTCATGACCTGTCAAAGCCCATTCTTAATGCGGCCGAGATGAGAGTTGAAAGACTGCACATGAGAGACCATCTTTTCCAATATGTTCCACATGGCTTCTTACTATTCCCACCCCAGCACCAACAGCAACCTTCTTCTCCCCACTGCAACCCAGATCTTTGCTTCCATTATCAAAGAGGCCTTCTGAGGCTAACCTTCATAAACATAGCCACCTCCAAATCTATGAAGAGAAAATCTTTGGTTGTTTTGATGATTGCCATATCGCCAGCATTTACGATAGTAATTGCACATAGTAGGTGTTCAGTAAAAATGTGTTGAAGAGATTGGTAACAGAGGTCTTACAAAGGAAAAGTCTTGGCTCATGATGCCTAGAAATCAGTGAAGGAAAACTTTTCAGATGCTCTCATAGAGCAAGTCATTCACCTACACTGCATCCAATTTACACTTAGAAACCCAACAAGTCTTAAAGAAAGTGATATGTCCAGGTAAGCAAAATAACACCATTATCATTCAGTTCCCATCAGGGCTCCAAGCAACTTTAGAAAACCTGTCCTCTGATATACAGCACTAAACTGTGTCTTATGGAAAATCAAATAAATTATTTTTTACCCGAAGGGAGCAGGATTATTTGACTTCAGATATTTGCCATATGGCTTCTTTTCCATACAGCATAGCTTCTAGGCTTAAGGTAGTAAGAGTGAGCGCATGCCTATAAATTATTCAGAGATAATTCAAAATAAGTGTGTATCTTCAACAGGTTGTCAAGTTTCTTAATGCTTTTTCCTGATAACAAGGGCTATGCTTTTGATAAAAGGTTGCTCATTTCTCACCACACTTTATTGTTGTTCTGTGTATGTTTTTTTGTTTGTTTTGTTTTGTTTGTTGTTGTTTGTTTCTGTTCCCCCCCACAGAGTCCAGTCTGGCTCTTATCTCAGCACAGGGTGGTTTACCTTCATTCTGGCCATGGATGCCTGTTATGGCATTCACGTCTACGGGATGATAAATGACACCTACTGCAAGTAAGATCACAGGAAATTATTTTTATGCATCTCCAATTCTGATATCTTGTCAAAATATCACAATTCATTTTAATACCATAAATCGGAGAAACAGATAAAGCGACAATTATTTCCTGGTGCTCTTTGCTGACATGACATTTTATTGTCAGTGCATCAAGTTGTGACTTTTAGGGGTGATAAAAAGAAAAATATTTACCACAATCTAATGTCAAATGTCAGAAGGAACATTTTCCCCTTAATCAGTGGCATATCAGGGATTTGTGGCTTGGAAATACAGAGCAAGTTTAGTGGTAATTTAATTTGCAAAGCAAGTTTGTCATTTCTGCTGCTCTAATGGCTTGATGGATAGCTAGCTACTCAATGGTTATATTTGATCATGAAGGACAAAATGTCCTGAAGCCTCAGAGAAGCTGACAGCTTAGCAAGAATTCCTGGAAATTATAGTTTACTAATAAGTGAGTAATCTGCCAGATCCATATTTAAAATAGATATGTTTATCTACAGTATATCCCTGCTGGAGGGATCATTTCTAATTATTTAATAAAATAAACCCTCCTTGCTTCATCAAGGTAATGAAATATACTTCCACATTAACAATTGGCATAATGTAACTCAGAGAGTATTTTAATCATATTGTCAAAATGGTAACTAAGCCACAATCTTCATGATCAAATATTTCTACCCTAAGTATAATGAAGCACAAATGTACCAAATATCTTACTGTGAAAAATCACAAAGCTTCTTCAAGCTCTGTAAGAGCATCAGGCCCTCTGAAGTTTGCCTCCATTATACACTGTTTCCTCCTTCCAAGATAGGTATATGTTTGAATGCAATTGATGTGATATATAAATTTTATTTGATTTATTAAGGCACTAAGGATCTGGTAAATCTTCCTAAAAGCTTTTATACATAATAGCTTTTAACTGAGTTCATGGACAAGAATCATGCATGGGTTTGCAAGTAAATGCATTTACTAGGCACATAATGGATTCTTGCAAATGAATGCTCCATTCTTCATCTCAATTCTTCTCTCCTTTTCTTTTCTTTTTTTTTTTTCTTTTTTAGGACAGAAGGATATAGAAAAGTCCCCTATCATTACTATGAACAAGGAAGAGATGAGTGTGATGAATATTTTCTTCATGAACATGCTCCATATGGGGGGCATAGGTTTATCACTGAAAAGAAAGTGTTTGCTAAATGGGCCAAGAAACACAGGATAATATTCACACACCCAAACTGGACAGTGTCTTGATGTTAGTTTTTTCTGATCTTGCCACAACACTTGACATGATCATAATACCACAACTGTGATGCTCATGATGCTGATGATGGTGACGATAAAGATAGCAACAATGACCAAGTTTCTGTACATTCTCCAATATGGATGGTGACTCTGCCAGTAATTTGAACTTGGGATTTCATGGAGGGTGGATGTGCTCTTTACACTCTTTCTGAAGGTTCAACATTACATACTGCACTTTATAATTTAACTGGAATTGCAATGAAGGCCAGTAACATGACAGCAGTGACCTAAGAAATGGGAAGATTATCCTTCAAGAAAGCTGCCCAGAATTCTTGAACAGTGAGTAACTTTCAGAAGCCATGGAATTTGGCCTCGTGAGGCAAAGTTATTGACTCTCTGGTCTCTTGAACTTGAGCAGCTCCACCATCTTGAAGAATGGTTGATTGTCAAACACTGACCCAAGAAACGCTATCTGGGTACAAGTATCGTACCGCAGTGACTAGTTAACCCAGAGGCAGGGGTGGAATCTCTTCCTGACAGACCATGGTTCTACAGTACCTCCTATAGCTAAAGCCTCAGGCCATTGCCTAGTTAACAATGAAGATATCACGGACATCCCACCCATCAGGATTCTTCAACAATTCAAACACTTAATTCAAAATGGGCCAACTAGCAAATCTTGAGGAATTTTCACTCTCACCACTCCATTCTCACTACCCCAAACAATATAACTTAACACGTCACTAGAGTGATCTTTATTACTGCTTAGTTATTTTTGGTCGAGTCCTAAATATTTCAGAAAGCTATTTAATATGTAAGATACCAACACTGTAATAACATATACTGTGAAAGCGTTCTTAAAACATAACCAAAAGGGTTTGCTAACTGTGCTTCGACAGCCAACAACACAAAAATATATGCTTTTTAAACATGAAACAAGGAAAGCAAAGCATATTTTTACATCAATTTGTATCCTACCATACTTCATAATATATATTTGTATATTCAGATTTCTACTTTATAGGCTCAGCTGCATCTCTCCATACAGTACATTATCGTTGCCAAGTGCCAAGCGCTAGACATGGAGAGGAAATGATTCCTTGTATTCAATCTGACCAGAGCTTTTGCCTTCTTGGGGTTCATTTTCCCCACAGTGTATCAGTTGTTATACCAGAATAACAACACTAATAATGACCTTAATGTCCAAAGTGCTTTGTCATTTAAAGTCCTTATATATATGCTGTCCTATGTGATGCCTGTGACCACCCCACTGGGCTATTGCCTGCACATTTTGACATCTCCTTAGCAGACGATCTGTAATTTGTTCTTTGCTTTGATATATTCCAGATCTTTCCCTCTGCTAATATTTGTATAGAATATTGTATAGAATTTGTATAGAATACATTTATGTAGACTAGTAACCAATTGATTTCAGTGCCAAATACAATATATTATATCAGGATTTTGCAAAAAGTATCACAAGGATTGTCCTGGCCATAGACTAGGACTCCTGTGAATGTAGGTACTTTTGAATTTTTTTTTAATGACTTTTTAGGTAGAGAAAAATGAGGAAGCAGGGACACCAGGAGGGAATGAACGCAGAGAAATAGTTTTCTATCGCATCTTGAGATGACATTGTTCTCCATACACTCATTGCTCATTAAATATGAGAGGGTTGATTTGCTGACAGAGTAGCCAAGAGACCAAAAATATCCTTGCAAATGATTCAATTGACAGAATGATTTGAAGGATGAAAGTGATGACGCATTTCACGTCAGCAGCCCTTTGCAGGTCTTTACCAGTGCTGGATCCCATGATAAGTTCTCATTAAGTGGGGCCATCCTGGGCAAAATCCTCTTTGCTGCTCTCTGCTTGCCATTTGGTTAACACCAATACTCAGAGCCAAGAAAATGGCCAAATGCCATTTCCTTCAACACTCCTGTTTTTTCCTCGTGCGCTTTTCAGTTCTAGGTATGTCAGGTTTTGTTGAGCGGACGATGGATGGAAATGCCCACTCAAAGAAAAATAAACAGATGCAAATGTTAAAATTGTAATACAGATGGTTTTCCCCCTGTTTTGACACAGAAGTTCCACTTTTAAATAAAAAGGAACACTTGATTATCAGAATGCTTCAGGGAATGCCATAATTTATTTCATTTTCTGGTAAATGGAGGGTTAAATCGATTTGTTTTAGTCCTTACTAATAAGACACTTTGCCCCCTTCCTGGCTCCCCTGCCTCTCCAGGAAAGAGACTTTGCCACGCCCACAGGTACTCTGCTGTGGGAGGTGTGTGTAGAAAAGTCAGCGTTTCCTCTGGAAGGGTGAGGGGGGGCCTCCCCCCTCCTCTCTTCCTTGCTCTCCCTTCCCCCCTTTTTTCCTTAACTGAACCCCAACCCCACTTTCTATTGTTGTCTCTTGCCTCCTTTTTTCTAAAAGTGGGAAACAAAAAAACCAGTATTCTCAATTTGGAAACCTAATTGGATGATTTCCAGTGTAATCAGCATTTTGAGAGAATCACGTAACTTATTTTTCTCTGTAGTTTTAATGTTCCCTGCTTCCATTTCCTGTTCCTCTTTACCCTCAGCTTCCCAATTCTAGTGGAAATACAAAGTGTAATTTCTCCCATATTGAGAAATTTGTCATCTAAGATTTACAGATAGAGAAGAGAATGACAAAGGAGAAATTCAAACTTGTCACACAAGTTTCTGGCCAATTTCACTGGTTCTAGCCAACTGAAAGATTTCATCCAGCAGCTAAACATTGAAGAATTCAACCAAACTCACTCATCACTGATGTATATCTATTCCAGAAGTTAATTAACATCTGTAAAAAACAAACATATTCCAATTCCATCCAAGGCTCTAGGCAAATGGACTATTGAAAATGGCCACAATTTGCTGAAATCAGCGTTAAAAACATGCAAGCTAGAAATAATAGAGTAAATATTATTTTTAATTCTGCAGAATTTTAGAAAAAAAGCAAGGAAATTTAAAAACAGTTTTAAAATGAATGTTTGAGTCTTTTCTAAGTTAGCCTCGTGACTAAGTAGTAATGATTTATATTGTTATGATGGTAATGTGAATTAGAAAACTTCTAGACTATATCTTACCTTGCTATGAAACCTATCAAAGAAAAACCAGTTTGGAAGGATGTTTGTATATATGCACATAGAGTCATTGTGTGTGTGTGTGTGTGTGTGTGTGTGTGTGTGTGTGTGTGTGTGTGTGTGTTTAAAATCATACCTGTAATCCTCTATTTTTCAGTGATATGTATGAATCACAGAAAACCTATTTTAGACTTCAATGAAATTTGTTCGTTTACATTTTGAATCCTGATGAAAAAATAAGGCAAAAATCCAAATTAAACATACCGATTGTAAAGAGTACATCAGATAATATTCAATGGCTGGCCCATAGAATAAAGCTGGAGAAGCTGCTCTATCTAGAACTGAGAACACAGTTAGATGCCACAGTTGTCACAGATCAGACCTCTAAGGATAGCAATCTCTGTTGTAGGCTCTGATGATCGCAGTTCACCTAGTCACACTGGAAAACACTACATCAAGCTGCATTCACACTGAAGTGAATGAACATTGGTCCCCTTATTCAAATAAGCCTGCCTTTGACATAAGCAATACTCAGATTTGCATGGTTTTTATTATATGGTTAGAGAACTGTGACTATTCTGAAAAGAGGAAAGTGTATAAGGAGATTACACTTTGAGGATTTGAAATGAACCAGCCGTTGTGGGAGCAAGAGTCTGAACTGGGGACTTTGCTGACCTTTCCAGAAGTATAAAGCCATCAGAAGAGAATCACTTGTTACTTCTTTAGGAAAAAACACTGAATACTTCACATGGTTGTGTTACTTGGATGCTAATTGTAAGCTCAGTTTTCATTTTAATAAGGAAGATAATATAATCAGAAGGTTTACTTTTTTTTTTTAACAACATACCCATCTAGCATTTAATGTGGCATTTCGAATGCATAGAACAAACTATATTGCCCCACGTCAGGCGATTACATACCTTAGCAGAACAAATGATTTACAGTCCCAGAGCCATGAGGGGGAAAAATGCTTTTCCCTCAACTGCATTTTTAAAAGGCAAGACCTCATCATTTTAACAGTATTCATAGATCCAGTGACTCTTCAGTGCTAACCTTTGTAAGTATTCTAGACTTTTAGAGCTGCAACGGGTTTAGAGACCAGTCAATTCAACCCCTCCTTGGAGTTGAAGAAATAGACCTATAGAAGTGAAGTGATTGCCCATGGCTATAACACAGACTAATGGCAGTCCTGAGCCTCAAATTCTTATCTCATATCTCCTTCTCTAGTACTGTTTCCATAACTTTTTTTAAAGCACAGAATGGTAGCTGAAAAAATGCATAAATGACTTAATGAAAGTCTATCCCTGGAATCCAAGGGATTGATTAGTAGTGTTGATTCTACTCATGATCAGAGAAATCCCCACACTGAATATAGAAACAGTCACCTAATTGAAGGAACATATCCCAGTAATTGTCCATATTCTTTGTTATCTGTGTTTATTGCTAAGACTGCATAACCTTCTGTTATCATGAAATTGTAGGACTAATTTAAGGAATGTAAAAGTGAGTATCTTACTTCCTTGTTGTTAAGGATGATCAAGCTACCGATACTCCTCTAAGAGCTGTTGAGTATGGAAGGTGCTTGGTGTAACTGACATGTCCTATTGCCCAATTATCTCCAGAAACCAAGTGTCCTAATTCTCAAACCAATTCGGCTGCTCATTAGTGAAATAATCTATCTGCACTGGCCGGTAAAATTCTACCCTTTGTTTCCACACCTGTCTCTGTACCACACGTGATCTTCGAGGGCAGATACCCTTCTGGAAGGTAAGTCACTGCCCCAAGTGCTCCGCAGGACTTAATCATCATGCAAGATTGAAAGAGTTTTTTCTTTTCTTTTTTTTTTTTAAGATTTTATTTATTCATTTGATAGAGGGAGAGAGACAGTGAGAGAGGGAACAT